GTGGCGGTGGTGGGGGCAGTGTGTGGCGGTGGTGGGTACAGTGTGTGGCGGTGGTGGGGGCAGTGTGTGGCGGTGGTGGGTACAGTGTGTGGCGGTGGTGGGGGCAGTGTGTGGCGGTGGTGGGTACAGTGTGTGGCGGTGGTGGGGGCAGTGTGTGGCGGTGGTGGGTACAGTGTGTGGCGGTGGTGGGGGCAGTGTGTGGCGGTGGTGGGTACAGTGTGTGGCGGTGGTGGGGGCAGTGTGTGGCGGTGGTGGGTACAGTGTGTGGCGGTGGTGGGGGCAGTGTGTGGCGGTGGTGGGTACAGTGTGTGGCGGTGGTGGGGGCAGTGTGTGGCGGTGGTGGGTGCAGTGTGTGGCGGTGGTGGGTGCAGTGTGTGACATTACGTTTAAGGAAACACTGCGTTTCACATAGAAGATATCTTTGCGTACATTGTAATGGTTGAGATGGTGATTATATGGAAGTTGGGTATACATTTAATTATATATGAACACATAACATTTCCCATCACACTTACTGGACAGCCTGCAAAGAAAGAAATGTATTTAACGCATTCGAGGGTGTTTGTGACATGAGTATTATATGCTTTCCATGTCTCTGTATGGGAGACCTACAGGTCCATGGACATAGGTTCCCCTTAAAGGAGAACTATGAGGGGGGGTGCTTTTCACTCCACCTCATAGTTCTAGCCGGCCTGTGACAATGAGACTGGGGGAGAACTTCTGTTTTGCGGCAGACTGCCTTGTCTCTGGAATGGATACATGGTGTCTGTGTGTAGGTTCACAACCTGAGCCAGCACTACAGGAAGAGGCACTCAGCTGCAAAGGGAAGTTCTCCCCCAGCACGAGAAGACATGAGGATTTAAAAGGAAGAGCAGCAAAGAGAAGGGAAACTACCATGGATTACAGTAAGGCGCACATTACAGTATTGGTTTTATGTTAAAAAACCTGAGGGTTTCATGTCACTTTAAGGCCAGCCAAAAAAAAGATGGATCAACTCTTGGGTAACAATTGGTGGGTTGAGTCATCCGCTGAATGTTTAAAAATATTTTACAATAACTATAGGATCATGATGATGAATCCTCCTGTGATATCTGGGCTGTCCAATCCCAGTAAAGTCTTGATCAGAATGAGGACAAGCAGTTTGACTGTTTAGCATTTTTTTAGTTTAAAGGAGAACTATGAGGTCAGGGCTTTTCCCCATAGTTCTCCTTAGGGTAACGGGAGGACACAAACTAGTGTCCTCCCGTCACCCTAGGCTCAGTATACCTGCGTGACTGACAGCTGGCTCTGCCTATCTAGAGGCAGAGCCAGCTGTGCCTGCCCCCTCCCCCGTCCGTTCCGCCAGTTAGCCCTGGGAAGGGTTTCCACAAGATTTTGGGACACTTATGTCCATTTGTGAGGTCAGGTACTGAAGAAGAAGAAGACCTGGCTCACATTCTGAATTCAGGTTCTTTCCGAAAGTGTCCAGAGTAGGGTTAAGGACAAAGCCGAGGAACAGTCATGCTGGACCAAAATGAGCCTTCACCAAACTGCTACCACAAGGCGGGAAGAGCACAGTTGTGTAAAGTTTCTTTGTATGGTGTAGCATTAACATTACCTTTCACTGGAAACACCTGAGCTTAGTCATTTGGAGGGGGGGGAGGCATTTTCTTTTGTCTATATAGTGTACAGGCCTATGTGGCTTATTTGCCTGGCTTGTATCTCTGGAAAGTGTGGATTTTTTTCCCACAGATATCTTCTATAAGTGAATTAGCCCAATGTGGATCAGATCTTGGTAGGTTCGCTCATCCATAGGTAAAAAAAAAAAAGGGTCAGTCGGTAATAGAAATGTTCACTTTTAACTTTAAACCAAATTCCCCTTTTTCATTAGACTGTGGCTTTAAAGCCTTGGTTCTGAACTGGTAGGTCGTGACCCCAAAGTGGATCACGACCCCATGTTCAGTGGGTCGCCACATGCCTTCCACTATTCTAAGTGAGAGGCTCCTCTGCCTCCCCCTAGCGCGGCACTGTCAGTTCTCGCGCCAAGCAGCCATTCAAAATATGCAGCCCGGCGCCGAGTGTCAGCTTGAGGTGAGGTAGGATGGAGCTATGGCCCTGCGAGGGAGCTCCATCCATACATGCATTGCTTACAGCTCCCTCGCGTGTCCTGTAGAGGTGCATCACTTGTTTGCCTGATGAAGGGGATCCTGTGAGACCCCAAAACGTTGCATAGAGTGTTCTACTTGCAACTAGTACGTTAATAAACACATACTGAACTTGCTTTGGAGTGTCTATCCTTTACCTATAGAGGTGCCTGGACCGGAGTGACATCACATTCCGGCTCCCGGGCACCTCTACAGGACACGCGAGGGAGCTGTACGAGCAATGGCTCGTATGCCCGCACTGGAACCCGCGGTACCTTAAAGGAGAACTATGAGGCGGGTGCTTTTCACTCACCTCACAGTTCTAGCCGACCTGTGACAATGAGACTGTCACAGGTCGGCTCTGTAGATCGGGAGGTGAGCGAACACATACCAGCATTCGCTCACCTCTCGATCCTGTCTTGGCTCTCTGCCGTGACAGGGGAGGGGCTGGATTCCCCTCTCCCCGCTCTGATCCGCCAGCGCTGACTGGCGGAACGGACGGGGGAGGGGGCGTGTACAGCTGGCTCTGCCTCTAGATAGGCCGAGCCAGCTGTCAGTCACCCAGCTGGGCGGATCCCGGCACAATTGTCGGGATCTGCTTCAGCGTCGGCGTCTCAGTATATAGGGAGCTACAGCTCGCGGTATATTGAGCCTAGGGTGACGGGAGGACGCTAGTTTGTGTCCTCCCGTTACCCTAAGGAGAACTATGGGGAAAAGCCCCGACCCCATAGTTCTCCTTTAATTCCATTCATTCCATCGCAGTGCGACTTAGTCGCAACTTAATGACCGAGGACACATGTGGGTTGACAACCACTGCTTTAAAGGAAAGATGTCCTAACAGAACTAATGTAGGCGGCTGATTCTCCTCAATGAAAAAACTAGCTGCTTGGCTTTCACTCTAACCCGGTGGCTCCAGTATATATATCAGGTGTCCAAAATTCACTTTGGCTTCACAAACTACAAGACTGGTGACTCAAAAAGTGCTGGAACAATGAAGATGGCCTGATGATTAGCATGTCCAGAAATGTTCACCATTGGCAACCTACATCGTTTTCTAACTGTTTGTTCCTTTGGGTGAAAAGTTAATATCATATACACCAATATATCAATCCTTGCATGGTGCATGGCATGCCCCGGACCATTCATGCCTGACTTACTTTGTAACAATTTGTGTGATGGTCTTTTTGTATCTAGAGTTATGGCGTTGCTCTTTATAAGTCATCTGAGTAGGTCATTGTCTTTAAACCTTCCAAGTGATATTCTAAGTGACACCAGTATTTTACGTATGTTATTCTAACCGTATATCTTGTGGATTTCCTGCCTGTCATGTCTGAACCACGTTCAGTGCGTATACTTCACATCAGCCTCGTTCCTCGGCAGGAGAACTTATCTGAATTCATTGTTTGGAAGCAGCATCCACTTTACTATAGCCCGGGTTCCTTCAAAGGACAACTGAGCTCTTGGTAAAATTGTCCTTTCATCAATCACCCCCAGCCGGCAAGTGCAGCCCACCGGCTCAGATATGTATCTTCTGTCTCAATTCAGGGAAAATGTCCTTGCTGGGTCTTCTTCATGCATGTCATGGGCCCATTCACTCCTGTGTGTAAGCTTTACTCTACAGAAATGCTAGTGGCCATGGCTTACCCAGAAGAATTAGGGATGCACTGATACCGATGCTGATACTAGTATCGGTGCCGAGTCTTTTGGCAAGTACTCGTACTCGTGCTCCCATACCTATTATTACAGGTATTTATATAGCGCCGACGATTTACGCAGCACTTTACATAGTTGCACATTCCCTTCAGTGCCTGCCCATGCATACATAGAGGGCCAACTTAGAGAGGAGCCAATTAACCTTCCAGAGTACCCGGAGGAAACACACGCAAGCACCGGGAGAACATGCAAACTCCTTGGCAGATAGTGACCCTGGCCGGGATTCGAACCGGGGACCCACGCAGTGACCAGGACCCAGTGCTGCAAGGCAGAATCGCTAACCACTACACCACTGTGCTGCCCCACTTACCCCAATACCAGAACTTCCGGTCAGAGGGAGATTTCCCCTGACCGCTAGTCCCGCGAAGGAACGTGGAGCCGGCTCACAGCCAATCAGGAAGCCAGGCGGCGGGTAATGACTCACCGCCCGGGTTCCTGATTGCCCGGGAAGGTGCCTCCATGCTGTTTGGTCGGCTCGATGCTGATTGGCCGGGAAGCCGGCTCTATGCTAGCGTAAGTACCGATATCACTACTCGGTATCGGCGAGTACCGAAAGATAAAATCAGTACTCGTACTTGATACCGGAAAACCGGTGTTGTAGCATCCCTAATAAGAATGAATGGGACCTCGGTGCACATGTGGCCTAAAATGAGGGTGTTTTGTTGCGTGTATGACATATGGTCGAAGGGAAGTATTTGATATGGTGGGCTGCAGTCACAGGGGGATATGGGTGAAAGGACAATTCTACCAATGGTACCGTTATCCTTTAAACCTGTTTGTTCATTGTTTGTTGCTCCCAGTTGGGATTAAATCATCCTACAATGGTAAATAAGAAGTATCAGAGCAGATATCAGACAACCTGAAACCTATTCTTATTCCTTCCCACACATTTCCATCTGTTTGTCTTACATTATACGTTGCTGCGTCTGAGTTTGTGTAAGTCTTTTGGAAATAATTGTTAGAGAAATGTTACAGTGTTGTTATTATTATTATTATTATTGTGGATAAGAATTGTCTTTGATTCCAGTCGGAAGTTGACATGAACGCGTTTCACTACATTCCATAGTTCCTGACATTTGGGGATTTCGCTGGCCCACGCGTCAGTCATTAATGTCCAGGAAATTGTATCTTTCTAATATCATTGTTTATTTGTTCTTCATTTAGTGATGTTGCCGTAGAGCTGCCTTTTACTTTGATGCACCCGAAGCCCAAGGAGGAACCTCTACATAGAGATGGTGAGGATGCAGTGTTGTCTTTTCTATACACATTCTTCAAAGAAGGAGTTGTATAAAAGGGGAATTTATAATACAGCACTCAATGTATACATACTGTATATACAAATCTCAGCAAAGATGACATAGTTACATAGTTACATAGTATTTGAGGTTTAATAAAGACACAGGTCCATCGAGTTCAACCTTTGTGTGTCTGTATGTGATTGTGCATGAGTCCCTGTGTGGTCTTAGTTTTTAAGAGTAACTGTCCCCCTGTATGTTAAGGTCTTTGAGGAAGGTATCTAAATGATTTTTGAATGAATCAATACTCTTTGCTGATACCACTGCTTGTGGCAGAGAGTTCCAAAATGTAGCCACTCTGACTGAAAAGAATCCCCTACACCCTTTGTGGTTAAAGGAGAACTATGGGGTCAGGGCTTTTCCCCATAGTTCTCCTTAGGGTACCCTAAGCGCGGTATAGCCGGGATCCGCTTCAGCTGCGGCGTCTCAGTATACCGCGAGCTGTAGCTCCCGGTATACTGAGCCTAGGGTGACGGGAGGACGCTAGTTTGTGTTCTCCCGTTACCCTAAGGAGAACTATGGGGTAAAGCCCTAACCCCATACTTCTCCTTTTAAAAGAACAGTTGACACGTTTCACACTTCTTCAGTATATCTGCGTTACCCGATCAGATTTATATGGTATGTTGTGGTCTTCACACTTATAAATAAGAATGATCACTCAGCATGAAGAAAGGATCGCCCACCACCCGCCATTTCCATCTGGCTGCCATGGCAGAAGGTCCGTCTGGTGGGCTCTCCTTCTCTTTAGGCTAAGTGATCCAATGTTCAAGACTCGGGGTCAACCGAGAAGTGCACTTTTAGTCCTAATAAGGGATCTACCGATACCAGTGCCGATACTTGGCATTTTCATGAGAACTACCAGCGGTTGCAGCTGGGACCGGGCTCTGGCGCTCCACCGCTGTCCTGAAATCATTAGTCTGTATTGTTTTACCAAAAACTGTCACATGACACTAAACAAATATGTATCAGTACTCGTGTCTGTGAGTACTTGGGCGAGTATCCGTACTTGTACATGCAAAACTGGTATCAGTAGATCCCTTTATATATGTTTTTAAAAACAAAATCATACATTATAACAGAGATGTACAAACCCCGGGAGCTCCGTGTGCTCCTTACACATGACAGCGGCCTCCTAACTTTTGAATGTTTCTCTAGTCTAGTCCTGGAGCTGGAAAAGTATCTGCACTTGTACTTGTTCCGGGTCCGGTACTTGGTATCGGTGCAACCCTTGTCCTAATATTTGAAACCCGTACTTTTTGGAGATTGCCTTAGTGTCATTATTAGGGTTTTACTTTGGTAAAGAGCAAACTGAGTACCTATAGTTCATCAGTATTATATAACGAAGATCGTCTATCACAGTTACCCTGAAGAAGTGGATAAAATCTGCGAGACACGTCAACCTGTGATTATTTATAACACGTTCTAGTATCTGTAGGTGAGGTGGTCATAGTCACGCAGGTCACACTTATGGATTTATGAGGTTATTTCAAGGAGAACTATGGGGTCAGTGTTTTCCCCCATAGTTCTCTTAAGGGTCACGGGAGGACACAAACTAGCGTCCTCCCGTCACCCTAGGCTCAGTATATAGGGAGCTACAGCTTGCGGTATACTGTAACGCCGCAGCCGGAGCGGATCCCGACATTACTGTCTGGATCTACCCAGCTACGTGAGTGACAGCTGGCTCTGCCTATCTAGAGGCAGAGCCAGCTGTAGCCGCCCCCCCACCCCCGTCCGTTCCGCCGATCAGCGCTGGAGGATCAGAGCGGGGAGGGAATCCCTGCGGGGAGTTGTGAGTGACAGTCGCGGCTCTCTGCAGGGGCAGGATCGAGAAGTGAGCGAGCGACGGTATGTGTTCGCTCCCTTCCCGATCTATTGAGCCGACCAGTGACAGTCTCATTGTCATACGTCGTCACGAACTATGAGGATGATTTTCACTCGCCTCATAGTTCTCCTTTAAATAAAAGAGAGAGAGAGAACAAGAAAGATAAATAAATATACAGTATATATACATATAGGAATGTATTGTGATACGTAGATATATTTTTTTGAGTGCTATGTTCAAAGTCCTCCTTTTCTACAATTTTTTTTCTCTTTTGATGTGGTTGTGGGATGAGATAAGAATATTAGAAGCTCTGTATTACTCCAGCTTGTAGTCACTGTACTGTACGCACTCCCATTGGAATACAAGCCTGGAACTGAATGAATGCCACTTGCTATAGTCTTCCTCTGTAGACGGTTCACTAGTCACCACCAAACCCCACCCAGCTTGTCATCTAGATGTAGACTTACAGATGCAAAATGATTGAAATTAATCTGAAGCCTACTAGTTCATTTAAAATCACTGATGCCAAAGCTTCTCTGGGGTGTGTGTTGGACCCATCGCAGCACCTGCAGATGGAATCTTGGACCCATTGCAGCACCAGCAGAAGCTTATCATTATATGAACATGCATCGTGTCTAGTATATGATCGTGTACAGACCAAAATAAATGCATTGATGTGTATCCACCCAATATGTCCAATCCCAGTTTAAAAGTCTGCTAGACGTGTAACATCACAAGGTCTGGCTCGGGTATTACAGTTGCCCTAATTGTGATGTTCGTAAAGATAGAGCCACATACTAGAAAGCCCAAAAGACCCATAAGGGTCTGTTTATAGATCTTCTGCCAAGCCATGCGCCAGGGGCATGCTGTTCACACGGCATTCCCGACACTAGATGGAGCTTAGGAGCAAAGGACGTTCCAGGGCTCTTCAGCTCCATCTAGTGGTGGCAATGGCATTCGCCTGAAGTAAAGCTGGGGGAAGATTTACAGACAGACCCCATAGTGTGTGCCTGCACCTATCTCCTCCTAATATACACATTACGTCTATTCAACTGACGACGGCTGTAGTCACGTACTTTCTGATGACCCTTCCACTCATTTAAATACGTTTTGGATGGCATAGGGAAGTATTAGACCCCCGTCAGTGGAAGATTAACCCTCTATTTGTTCTCGTGTCACCAGAGCATGGGAGAGGCTTCAATGGGAACACCTGTTCTGATACCTGTTCTGGCACCTAAGAGTGGATTTCCCGCTACTCCTGTTGCATCCCTGGGACAGGAAGTGAAAGGGAAATCTCCCCGGTGGGACCCAGACAGCAAAAATAAACTGACAGGGGGTCTAACCTTTCACTTTTTTTGTCCGAAACTGAAAAAGAAAAACAGGTCGGCTGCACATACAGTGCAATAGGTCGGCTCCACCAGCGGAGTGGAACCTGTCCGGTATTTGTTGCTGTCTGTGTCACCTTGAGAAGATGTCCCCTCATTTCCTGGCATTGGAGAGTGCTTCCGGCATTAAAGGAGATCTATGAGGTGAGTGATTTCCACTCATCCTCATAGTTAGAGCCGACCTGTGACACAGAAGCTGTCACAGGTCGGCACCATCGATCGGGAAGTGAGCAGAAACATGCAGCCGATCCGCTCACTTCCCAATCATCTCCCTGCAGAGAAAGGTGACTGTCAGTCACGGCTCCCCGCAGGGATTCCCCCCCTCCCGCTCCGATCCTCCAGCGCTGAGTGGAGGAACGGACGGGGGAGGGGGCGGGTACAGCTGGCTCTGCCTCTAGATAGGCAGAGCCAGCTGTCACTCACGCAGCTGGGCGTATCTCGACAGTAATGTCGGGATCCATACCGGTTGCAGCGTTCACAGTATATTGCGGGCTACTACGCTAGGACGCTAGTATATGTCCTCCCGTGACCCTAAAGAGAACTATGGAGGAAAACACTGACCCCATAGTACTCTTTTAAGGGGCTGATTTATTAATCTTTCTGCAGCATATAGCAGGGCAAGTGCAATTCACATGGCACTGCTACCACCAGATGGAGCTGAGGAGCGCAGGAAATTCCTATGCTCATCAGCGCCATCTAGTGGTGGCAGTAGTGCTGTGCAAACGGCATTCACCTACCTGTACTCTGCACATAAGATTTATAAATCAGCCCCAAAGTGAGAGTAAATCTCCCCGACAGGGACATGGAGGGCTAAAAATAAAAACTTCACAGGGTTTCCGACCCTTCTCCACACTATTCAATGTTTAAAATAAGCTCTTTAACCCATCGATGTTTCATACATTTTGTTTCCTCTACAGGAGTATTCCAATATTTAGCGTTCACCGAGACTTCAACGTTAACAACTTTTTTTTCCCCCCTTTTTAGTTCCAGAGAACGAGGCTCCTATAGATACAAACCTGATAGAGTTTGATACAAAGTAAGAGGGTCGTGCCTGGTTGTCCGTGTCATGTGACCTCTAATAACTGACGTCATCCCCCCCCCCCCGATGAGGGAGCCGCTTGTGTCTCTTACTAATGCACGTCTTGTCTAATCATCGTGTTTTTTATTTTTGCATGGCTTCCGCGCTGCTTCTGCATGCTCATAGTGAAGGGAAAAGCACAGTAAGACTTCTCCATATTCTTTATTTCAATGCTGTTTTCCTCGCTTGATTGGCTGTTCCAGTCTGAGGGGGTGTGTTACGTTTTGGGGTTTTATTCGTGCCGCTTTATCTTAAAGGAGAACTATGGGGTCAGGGCTTTCCCCCATAGTTGTCCTTAGGGTAACGGGAGGACACAAACTAGCGTCCTCCCGTCACCCTAAGCTCAGTATATAAGGAGCTACAGCTCGCGGTATACTGAGATGCCGCAGCCGGAGCGGATCCCGACATCGATGTCGAGATCCGCCCAGCTGCGTGAGTGACAGCTGGCTCTGCCTATCTAGAGGCAGAGCCAGCTGTACCCACCCCCTCCCCCGTCCGTTCCACCAGTCAGCACGGGCGGATCGGAGCGGGGAGGGGGAAATCCAAACCCTCCCCCTGTCACGGCAGAGAGCTGTGACAGGGTCGAGAGGTGAGCGAACGCCGGTATGTGTTCCCTCACCTCCCGATCTACTGAGCCGACCTGTGACAGCCTCATTGTCACAGGTCGGCTAGAACTATGAGGAGGAGTGAAAAGCACCCCCCCCACCGGGATTCACCCGGACAGTCCGGGTTTTGAACGCTGCGTTGGGGTTTCATGGCAGCAGAAACCCGGCCACATGATGTCAGGCAGACAGGGGACACTGTCATTTTGGTGTAACCCCTCCAATGTTGGGCCGCACCCCCCTTATGACGCCACTGGCGGCGCTATTTACATGAATGAATTTACATGAATAAGCTGCGACTCATTCTCCCCCAAAAAATGTCCGTGCGTTGCTAGAGTGTTCGGGTTTCACTTGAAGAAAAGG